GATGTCATAGTCTCTGACTGCATACATCTATAATTGAAGAATAATAATAATAATAATAAGAAACCTGATCAGAGATATCTTTATTTTTAGATAACTAGTTTCAAGTCTCTTCATCAATTATAATATTCTGATAACTAAGATGATTTTTATAGAGATAGATTAGTTATTGAGTAACAGCTTCTTTATAAATTATAAAATCTCAGTAAAACTGATATTATAAGTGAGAATCTGTATTTAAATTTAAAGACTTTAATATAATAATATCAAGATTTTTAGAAAGAAGTGAGAGAGTGTTATAAACATAGTCAGTATCTCTAAGAAAGTTAATAATATAATCTTTATACTTATACTAATGTTCTCTGACTTGACAGATCTTAATAAAGATATATATATATAAAATTAATATCTCTTTAATCTGACTAAGAACAGAGAGATCTGAATTAAGATTACTGAAATTAAAATTATTCTCTTAAGAGAATAAAAACAGCTTATCAGACAGCTGTCTCAAATTAAGAGTATAATAATAAGTATAAATATTATCTTAAAGATTTATTTTAAATTAGTAAATTTAATAACAGCTATAAATCTTCATCTGTAAATCTTTAAATATATAATAAAATTTCTATATACACTGTTAATTATCAGAATTAACAGCTGAATCTATAAAATAAGTAGAATTCTGAGAATTTATTAAAGAATCTGAGATAATTATAGTCTATAATTGATTATATTTCTGAAGAATTATAAGAACTTCTATATTTAATATATTAATTAAGCTATTAAATTATATAGAATACTAAGATGTTAAGAGACTACAAACTCTTTTATTAAGTTAATTAATGAATAAATCTACAGAGCTCTGAGAAACTAGACTGGCCGCTGAGATCATGAATTTCACGTTTGATCTCATTTGATCTGATCTCATACATTTCTTGATGTGAATCCCGCTGAAACTGACTATCAAAAAAACATGTAAAGTGACTATATATCAGATCTTAAAATGAAACCATGACTTGAAAAAAATAAGAAAGTGATCTTATTTGATTTCATTTAGTCTCATTCTTGGCATAAAGTTACTATTTTTAGACATTTTAAGGTTTTTTTAGACTATTTTTAATTTTTTAAAAAGTAACACTTTTTGATAACACTCAAATAAGATTTAAAGTCATTTAAAGCAATAAAAATAATTTAAATTGAGAAGTGAAAATCATGATCTTATTTGAAAAATGTGATAAGAGTAGACAGTAAGTCTCACTGAAACAGTATGAAACTACTATCTAATGTTAAAACTGTGTAATGAGATCAGTTAAATTGATAATAAAACTATTAAAAAATCTGATTCTGGTCCCAGACACGGTCACACGGTCAGTCTATAAGAAACAGAGTTTTAAGAAGTTAAAAGTAAGAAAAATAATGTAAAAGCTATCTGTGATAAAAGTATATCTATAAAAGTGAAATAAAATTAACTTGAGAATGAGTTAAATAATAATATAGATAATTAATAAAAGACTGAAAAGAAATCTATAGAACTAAGAGATGAATTAATTATTAAAGATAGTGACTATAATTATTTTCTTAATTAAGTTAAGAATAAAGTTAATAAGAGATATTCTCTATAATATCTGATAATATAGTAAGCTCTTTGAATAATAGTTTTCTTTTTATAAATTATTATTAATAAAGATATATCAGAACTATGAATTTTATAGTAATAAAACTTAATTTCAGATAATATATTTATTTTAATAGACTGTTTACAGATCTGAGAGACTACTATTAATTATATAAAGTATTAATATATCTGAGATAATAAGAGAAGTTCAGACTTATTTATTATAGAATCTATGACTATAGAAGAATCTAATTTCACTGTATATATTTATTTACAGTTTTATATAGTATAAAGAGATAATCAGTGATAGAAAAGATATAATAAGAGAAGATTATAATATCTGAGTTCTCTGAGTGCAGTATTAAAGATGAACAGTTATAGAAGTAGTAGAATACTGTAAAGAAATGAATTAATTAAGAAACTAATTTTATAAACAGTAAATACAGACTTTTAATATGTTATTCATTCTTGAGAATCTATGAGAGATAATTAATCAGATGTATTATCTATTCAAGAATCTGTACAGAGTAGATAGTTAATAAGATATATAATCTATTATTCAAGAATCTGTACAGAGTAAATAATATAATTAATAAGATGAAAGATAAATGCATTGTGAGTATATATAGATTAGTTACTGAGATTATAATTTCATATTTAATCTCATTTAATCTGATCTCATACATTTCTTGATGTGAATTCTGCTGAGACTGACTATTAAAAAAACATGCAAAGTGACTATATATCAGATTTTAAAATGAGATCATAACTTGAAAAAAATAAGAAAGTGATTTCATTTAATCTCATTTAGTCTCATTCTTGACATAAAGTTACTATTTTTAGACATTTTAAGGTTTTTTTTAGACTATTTTTAATTTTTTAAAAAGTAATACTTTTTGATAATACTCAAATGAGATTTAAAGTCATTTAAAACAATAAAAATAATTTAAATTGAGAAGTGAAAATCATGGTCTCATTTGAAAAATGTGATAAGAGTAGACAGTAAGTCTCACTGAAACAGTATGAGACTACTATCTAATGTTAAAACTGTGTAATGGGATCAGTTGAATTGGTAATGAGACTATCAAAAAATCTGGTCCTGGTCCCAGACACAGTCACACGGTCAGTCTAAGTGTGTAGAAGTTATAGTACAATGTCACAGAATTGCACTTCACTTAATTCTACATCAATCAGTGGGCTGTATTCGCGCCAAGAACCCCAAAAAGGAAATTCTCCACTTTTAATGACCAGGGTTTTCATCATATATTTGCTTCGCTTCGCTCCGCAAATCATGTGATTTAGTGTCTTAGAAAGTTGGTTCCACTTACAATGATTCCCGAGCGAGTAATTCTCGAGCCTTCTATTGGCCGCCGAGTCGGGCAAGATTTGGGTGACTAATCCCGTTTTTTGCCTCCAAACTATGAATACCCGTCCATCCGTGTCTATCTTGTATACCCCAGCTTCAAATCCTTCATTGTTGTTGTTCTCTCTCTGCCTCTGCAGTCTGCACCGTTAGTAGATCGTCTTCTTGTCTTCTTGTCTCGGCTCTGTTCTCCATAGACCAAAGATGGCTTCTGCCGCTAGAACTTTCACCAGGGCTTTCGCTCGTGCAACCCCTGCCACCTGTACTTCTTCCTCTATCCGAACTTCCGCTCGCAATACGGCCCGCTTTGCCCTTCCCGCTCAGACATTCCGAGGTGGATCCCGCAGAGGGTATGCCTCTGGACCTGAAGCAGGAAAGTCTTCGAGAAACTTATATATCGGATTGGGCGCTGTCTTATTTGGAGGTGCTGGCGCTTTCTACTACTTCAATAGCGATGGGCTCAACGCCGCTGCTGCCAAGCCAACTGGTCCTTTTACTCCGACCAAGGATGATTACCAGAAGGTATACGATGAAATCGCGAGACTTTTGGTAGAAAAGGATGACTATGATGACGGCAGCTACGGACCTGTAAGCCAAAATTCACCTCCCCCTTTCTCGCTAGCTTTCCGGTCTCTAACTTTGGGTTGCTTTTGAACAGGTTCTTGTCCGACTGGCATGGCACGCGAGCGGTACCTACGACAAGGAAACCGGCACTGGAGGAAGCAATGGCGCCACCATGCGCTTCTCTCCTGAGAGCGACCACGGGGCGAACGCTGGCTTGAAGGCTGCTCGGGATTTCCTTGAGCCGGTGAAGGGTAAGCAAAGAAACAAACCATTCATAGCGTTTGTTGCGAGTCACCTCGCTAACTCATGTATTTAGCTAAATTCCCTTGGATCACGTACTCCGATCTTTGGACTCTTGCTGGCGCTTGTGCCATTCAGGAACTGCAGGGACCAGTGATTCCATGGCGCCCCGGCCGCCAAGACAAAGATGTATCTGCCTGCACACCTGATGGACGTCTTCCCGATGCTTCCAAGGACCAGAAACATATCAGAGCAATCTTTGGACGCATGGGCTTCGACGACCGCGAGATGGTCGCTCTGAGCGGTGCTCACTCCCTTGGCCGTGCCCATACTGACCGGTCTGGTTATGATGGTCCATGGGACTTCAGCCCCACTGTCTTCACCAACGAATTCTTCAGATTGTTGGTTGACGAGAAATGGAACTGGAGAAAGGTACGTGAAATATGCAAATAACTGTTCCGTCAAATAGAACTCAGGATGCATGAACTGACCATGACAAAATTTCAGTGGGACGGCCCTGCCCAATTCACCGACAAGACCACCAAGACTCTGATGATGTTGCCAACCGACATGGCCCTTGTGAAGGACAAGGAGTTCAGGAAGCACGTCGAGCGATATGCCAAGGACAGCGATGTATTCTTCAAGGAGTTCTCGGATGCGTTCGTCAAGCTCCTTGAACTTGGTGTCCCTTTCACCTCTTCGGCTGAAGATCGCATCCGATTCAAGGTTTCGAGCGACTAAATCAGCGAGTTTATGCCTTACGCACGTGCGAAGCAGAAAATCTTTTGGCTTGCAATCGATTGAGTCCCGAATTATTCCTTCATTAAAACTAATTATTTTCTTTGTGGCCTGCCGCTGTCATGTCTTTCTATGGTTTCTTTCAATCATTATTTTCCTTATTATAGCTGTTTTACACCGAATGCTGTACAATTCAAGATTTAGATTACACAGATCTCTCTACTCCTGTTCGACTCAGTAACGAGCATACCTCGTTGCACGTTTGTACAATATCTCTCTTATGTTCTAGCGTCGTTTTTGAAGCAGGATAGATACTACCAGGGAGAGGGACCGGACGAGCGAACTAGGAAATGCGCGGGGTTGGATAGAAGATAGCTTAGTTTCTTTACAGTCTTATATTCAGCAAAATCAAAAGTGAAAAAGTAGATGTTCAACATTCAACTATCTTCCAAGTACTATTCGTGTTTTGTATTCGCCATTGGTATGGTATGTATGTGTATTTGGCTTGGACAAACTAGTGGTTAACTAACTAACTAGCCGAACCTTGATCAGTTGAGCCGAACCAGAGCTTCTTTAACCATTTCTTGTCGCCAACTTCTCCGCCAGCGTATGTACTATACAACTCTAACATATAGACCACCACGGGCTAGGAGCCCTGCCACGATGCGCCTCACTGAAGCAATCTCGTTCTCCATCTATCATTCGCCCTAACGACGATCGTACCGTCCTCCAGTGGCCTCCCTCATCTTCCGCTACTGCTATGATGACAGCATTATCAACAACAACCTTGGGCACCTCAACAACAACTCACTACTCAATCCTCAACATCCCATATCCGCCCCCTCACCGCCTCCTCAAGCCAGATGTAAAACTGGCCTACCATCGCGCACTACTCAAACACCATCCGGACAAATCTCGCACAGCGTCGTCCAACCCCGCCAAAACCCCCACCACGAGTATAGCTTTCAGAACCAACGGGGCCAGCACCGGCACTAACTCCAACTCCCAATATATGACTGATAGAGAGACGACGACAACATCTAGTATAACCACTATAACCACTGAAGCTTCAAATCCAGCTGGCACAGCCAAAGTCTCACCGCCTCTACCCCATGCCCCGCAGCTGAGATACACAATAGACCAAATAACTACGGCATACAAAGTCCTGTCAGATCCCGTCGCACGAGCGGAATATGACCGCTCCCTACGTCTCTTAGGGATAAATGGTGACAGGCATGGACATGGACATGGAGATGATGAGGGTACACCCTTTAGAACTAGCATGGAGGTTTTCGACCTAGACGATATGCAGATGGCGGATGGCACTTTTGGTCCTGACTTCGGTACCAACTCTGACGACAACGGTAGTGGTGGGACATGGTATCATTCCTGCCGCTGCGGGGAAGAGAAGGGGTTCGTGGTGTTGGAAGAGGAGCTGGAGAGGGAAGCGGAGAGGGGAGAGGTGGTTGTCGGGTGTCGTGGGTGTAGTCTATGGGCTACAGTTGTATTTGCTGTTGACGAGAGCGGCGAGGAGGAAATGGAAAATGACCGGATATCGTGAAAGACGAGCTGAAGTTTGGATTGAATGGATTTACAGACCACAGTCACTGGTGGTGTTTGGTTTTCACCATGTCCACGCTGGGTTCAAGGAAGATGTACGTTGTCGACGCTAGGCTAGGATGCTGGGTTGTAGTATAGAGCTCCCCATAACGCATCCAGCACCATCTGACAGTGTGTCTGCAACTTGTGGAAGTTTGCTGCGATCGATTTACATTGGAACCTAGTTTCTCAGCTTGTGATTTCGAGGAGGGTGCACCGCGCTACCACTCCCCGGGATTCTTCCAGGAGATACGTAATAATGCAACCCGCCGCAGACCACTCGACTTCTTCCAGACGATCATCGAAGAGCTACTATGTTGATATATATATATATCAATTAAATCCTTCTCCTTGTTCGTTCTTGAAGATTCTCAGGAGTATCACTACCCATCTTTTTTCCTGGGAAACCAGAACAAGCTCGCATGGCCCGTATCAACCAGGTTTCGATTGGGTTGACTTTACAAAGGTCGTAGAACGCGCCTCCTGTACATGTACATGTTGGGTGAAAGGATTTGAGATGAGATTTTCCCTATGTTATTTAGGGTGACTGACTACAGATAAATTATCCAAACAAATAGCCCATTATACATCCATATATTCCGAGCAATCAGCGTGTTTAGCTGTTCTTTTTTTTTTTTTTTTTTTTTTTTTTTTTTTTTTTTTTTTTGTATTTGTTTGTTTTTGTTTGTTTTTGTTTGTTTTTGGGACCTTCTTGATAATATCTAAGGCTTATGTGTTAACGACTTTTAAGTAAGCCAAATAGTGGCATTTATTAATGGCTCTTTGAACATATTCCGGTTATATATATGGTCTTATATCGATGGTTGTTGCCTGGGTACCATTGGATCTCAAGTCTTTGACGGGCGGAAGCTGAGTAAATAGTTACAGCAAACACTAAGTTACCAAATTTGAACTTCATCAGAACATTCATCTAAGAGTTCACCCTCAACCGCGCCGCATTTCCCAACCCATTACCTCCTCTCCCCAAATCCCTTAAAATGTCCAAGTTAGTCAACATATCATCGAAGGCTCAGCTTTCGGAGCTTCTCTCATCGTCCTCCATTGTCATAGCAGACTGTAAGTTGTTCCCCTCTGGCGAAGAATCCGACCACTCCGATCAACTACCCCTCCATGCCCCCCTCCAAACACTTCCCCCCACCACCATGAGCCGCAATTTATCCCAGCTTGCCCGAATGATGATAATACCAATATCACATATATGGGGAAAGTGACTCGTATCACATTGCTGACACTGTTTATATTTCTTCTTAATTTACAGTCTATGCGAACTGGTGCGGGCCATGCAAGGTGATTGCGCCGCTTTTCGAGAAACTGGCGAACCAGTTCACGCGCCCGAAGAAGATATCTTTTGTCAAGATCGATGTCGACGCGAATCAGGATGTGGCAGCAGCTTACGGAGTCACTACGTAAGTTACAAAGAATGATGTTAGCTTTCTTCCGTCATATCGTGTATCTATCGAGTTCCTCCCATGTCGGCGCTTGGATTCAGGCTACCTACAACTATGCCAGCTTTTGTTGAATACCCTGATCGGGGAGAGTCTGACGGCTAACTCTGACACGCTATACCTACGGTTGCCTTCTAGCATGCCTACGTTCATAATCTTCAAAAACGGCGCCGTCGCCCATTCAATCCGCGGCGCAAACCCGCAACTCCTCACATCCAAAATCCAAGAATTCGTCTCGAGTGTTGGATCCAACGGCGCAGACGACGCTGCGGGGGAGGCTAGCAGCAGCGGCTCACAGTGGTTGGGCGGGGCCGTTCCAAAGGGCTACTCAGAGCTCTCTAGTGAGATTGAAATCAAAGGCATAGATCTTCTCAACTGCGACAACCAGGTCGGCTCTGGGAATTCGCTCTTCGCAGCGGAGAAGCCATCGGGTTTCTCTGCTGTTGAGAGTAGTGGGAAAGCCTCATCTACATCCGACTGGGTGGAGAGCGACACGGACGAGCAGCTGATGTTATACATGCCCTTCCAGTCGTCTATTAAACTCCATTCGTTACAGATTACTTCTCTTGCATCTCCCGGAGGTGATGCCGATGATGATGAGGTACCAATGCGACCTAAGACGCTGAAACTGTATACCAATCGCACTCATATCATTGGGTTTGAAGACGCGGATGAGGAGACCCCGACGCAGGAGATAGAGCTGACACCACGGGATTGGGACGAGAATACGAAAACGGCAACAGTTGAGCTACGGTTTGTCAAGTTCCAGCGCATCAATTCGCTTGTTGTATACTTCGTAGACGGAGATGGGGATGGAGAGAGGATCCGAGTGGATAGGGTGAGGCTATTTGGGGAAGCTGGGGAGAAGAGGGAGATGGGCAAGCTCGAGAAGATTGGGGATGAGCCGGGAGAGTAAAACTCGAGGGGCAGGTCTTTTTTTTTTTTTAGATGGATGTCTTGAAGGATCGCTTGTTTCGTCCTGTATCAACATACGTTCATCGAACCTGGGTTTTTCACTAGAGGGAATGGTAGTAATGAGACACGAATCAGATGTTTCATTCAGTACTCCGTCACTGTATTTTTTTATTTTTTATTTTTTTATAAATTTTTTAATTATTCTTTACCAGACTACAGTCAAGCCCAAACACTAAGTCTCTAGCTACTTATAAACCAGCGGAGTGTCCTGGGTAGGGTAGTAAACGTGCACTTCCATCAAAGTGCAGAGACCGGCTGAAATTTTCCCTGTCAACCGCTACTGCTCCCACTCAACAGGAGATGCAGCGCCGGATTACCAAGAAGAGATGAATCAGGGAAATAAAACGAAGAAGAATTGTTCGATCCCAAACCAAATGGCCATTTCCTCAATGAGAGAGAGGATAAGTAATAACAAACGACCAGTAAAGTAAGAACCGACGTGCAATTTCATTGTTCTGTGACGCAGCCGACACCTAAGGATTTTTTGACTCAATCAAACATCACAAATAAAAAGCGCACACATGCCTACTTCTTTCAAAGGAAAGAAGAGAGGATGGGGGCTTCTTGATGTCTAGGCAACACGGGTTAAGGGCTGCGTCGCCGCACGAAGAAAGAAAAAAAAAGAACAAGAAAAGGAAGAGAAATGAAGCTGGGAAAGAGTTTTATATCGGTTTGTGTGGAGGATGATGTCGGAAGCACAGTTTTTCCGGCCTGGCTGCTTTCAGTTTAGCGGGGTTTTCATAGATATTTGCGGAAGTATATAAACACTTACAGCGTAAACATCTACATAGTAACCTACTTTTGAGAGTCGATTTGCACGCCCAAGCCCTTTTTGATCTCGCTGCTTCTTACCGCTGACTCCGTCAATTACAACATCTTCCCCACCATGGTTGAGAAATTGTGTACTCCGTACATAGAAGACAACGACTATCCCTGGTTGGTCAGAGCCAAGCGATGACGTAATCGCATACAAGCGAGAAGAAGAAATATTTATCACGTCCCACAATTATTTTAGCCTCTTCTCTCCTTTAATTTTTTTTTTCCCTCTCCTATGGCCAATGATGAGTGGTATGCGACTACAGTCGTGTACCTTTTACATATATAGGAAGAGGATGAATGCTCTCTTTCAGGAGCTTGATATCAACTGACACCCTCTGAGGCCTTGATTTGATGTTTTCATTCCAACCGCTCAATCAAAATTGATGCCACGCTGATTTCCATTTATATCCATTTGCAAAGAATGATTCCTCTCCCCCTGATACCTATTCTTCTTTTGTTTTTGAGCAATCTGGTATATCTTGACGAATCTCACATTACTGAAGCCATATAGCTTCTAGGATTTCTTTTCTTGGTAGATTTTGGAGTTGATTGCCAGGCTCGAACTTGTAACTCATTCATCCATCATGAGGCCAGACCCTTTTTTTTTTTTTTTTTTTTTCTGTTCACTTTGGAAAGACATTCCAAGGAAACAATATTCTTTCCTCTTGATAACATACTCCTTTTCCTTCCTCCAGGCCTAGAGTCAGCCATCTTATGTCGATGCTTTTATCTCCATGTTCCCTGGAGTAGACAACCAGAGAAGAACATAGGACATGCAACACTGTTGAGCATCCAATGTCAACCCATGCCAACCCTACTATCGGGCAGTGACGATATATGTCTTGCCTCAGCCTTCCTGGGACTTGAGCAAATTATCTGTTTTGGGGGGAGGTTTAACGATTCATCTGTTTGCAGCCTTGAGGAATACGTGGATTTGAATGCCAGCAAAGACTTAAAATGAACCAACTAGACTTTTGGGAAAATATATTAACAGCTGCAGCACCTAGGGTAGCTACTAAGCTGTTCCTTCTGAATGCCATCGGGGATCTTTTCAAAGGGCTAAGGGATCACAGCTGCCCATTCAAATTTATTTGATTGAAGTCACCGCCTGTCTTGCTTTATCCAGTTCAACATGAGCTCGCCGTCTGCGATGGTGGGCCTTATTCTATTCATGAAAGGATATCAAAGTGGCGGTGTAGAATTAATTTCATTCTAGAACCGCATGTACATGACGGTAATTTTCATAATTCCGTTCATCCGCCCATTGCAGAACTTATTTTATCTTTCAGAATAGCTTGAATAGCTCCTGGAACTTTGACTTGGGCTGGAGCGTGACTGGGAATCCCAAATCTCTATCCAATTTTCTCCACTCCCAGCAGACGGCTTGTTTGACGAGTTATTGCTAATGATTGCCGGAGGTTATTCATGCTGTAAACATGCTCAGTTTTGCTCTCAATGTCCACTACACTCACTGGCATATCACCTAGTTTTCCTCATTACATTTCTAGTCCTAACCAACATATGACCTACCCAAATCTAATGTTTTTCAAAATCCGTCAAACCTGAATTATCTAGGCTACCCGTACATATATACCCCAGTGCAGATGTTGGTCGTCCTAGCTGCACGGTCTGTTCAGTGAAAATCTGGCTAAGAAGCTGTTCCCACCCCGCGAACATGCTTGCATAGGACACTCCTGAGTAC